TTTATCACTAAAGAGGTCACCATTTTTCAGTGCCTTTGAAATTAGTGTTGAATTTTTGGTTTCCCGGCAGCTTTAGACTTTCAATGATGGGATGGACTTATAGTTATAGTTTATGTGTGGAAAGTGGAAAAGGTGTTGAACAAAGGAAGAAGCAGGATCATGGCTGTGGGCCTGGGGGGTGTTTACAGGACACACGGGTCATAATCCCATGAGCTTCACTGCGTCCAGTCCACAGCTCTTCCTGCCGAGCTGCCACCTCCCTCCACGCTCTCTTCACTGCTCTTGTTCCTGTGCTGAGAGGCTACTGCAGCCCTGCGACAATGACACTACTGTGTTATCAAGCTTTGAGTTGTACTATATTCCCCAAACCAACCCCCCTTCATCTCCCTCTTCATCTGACCCTGTTCCATCTCACTCACAGCCCTCTGCCTCTCTGACAGCTACTCTCTCATTGCTCTTTTTCTCTAACCAGCTCTATGTTTTTTTCAATGAGCCATGACACAGTTCACATGTGTGTCTTGTTTGCATCGATGGCTACAGAGCTGAGAGAGCTGAGGGCCAAGGGGCGGAGACGACCATCTCTATACACCAACTCTGTGGACTATATGTAGTTAACCTCTAAATAATCACTGCATGTTTGGATATTTATTATTTTTTAAGATATAATACAAATGTTCCAGTTGGAAGAAGAAGCCATGTGAGTGTAGCTGTATTAAAATGTGACTGGCTGAAGAATGCTGTGGAAACTGTGAGGATTCTTTGAAAATCCAAACGCAACCAATAAAGTGGCTGTGATTCAGGAGGTATAGTAAGTTGTCCAATAACTGGACGGTCTGCAGTTTGATTCTGATGTTATAAAGATACTGAACCCTATTTTGCCCCTGCCGGCTGCTCAGGCAGTGTGTGAGTGAGTGATGAATAAACTGCAGCACAGATGTACTGTGTGTGTGTGTGTGAATGGCGTGTAAAAGTGTTTACAAGTGTATAATTATAGACCATTTACCATTTATACACATAGCAGTTGCTGTAAGAAAGAAAAAGCAAAAAAATGTAAGTATGTGACTTTTCTGAAACAATGATAGAACCAACTTTCTGTACAATGTTTGAAACATTAACATTACATTTACAAAAAGATTTTTTGTAACATTGTTTGTTTGTAGCATTATTTAATTTCAGAAATATTAAGACATTAAGCTACTAAATTCAAGTTAAATCAATTTTATTTGTGTAGCACAAGTTACAACAAACATCATCTTGAGGCACTTAATATAATAAGTTCAAGATCTTACCATGTTAAAAAAATTGACAGGTAGTGTATGTATTAATACATATTTTATTATATTTAAATATAATACATATAGTGAGAAGCTTTTGTGTTTGTAAACTCGAAAAACTACTTGGAAGATTGTGCATATTGTAATTTAGACTTAATGAATGTATATGTTCTATCTTTGGTTAAAGACGAGATTTCCATATAAAAGGAGTCATTGTTTTTTTAACTGCTACTCTGTTCTTCTCTGGCTTCGTTCAACACTTGATTTTGAAAACAGAATAATCGTGATGGTTACTCTATGGAGAAGGACACGAGCGGGATCCAAAAACAGGTGGGAACTGAGCTCCACCTAGTGGTCCACATCCATCAGTATTTTTACAAATTCACTCAAGCTTTCTTTTCATTCTTGAAAGGATCACTGCATGCCGGCATCACTTGTTCTGCTCCTTAGATGTTATGCATTGACCTGTAAGCACCACTTAATTAAATGCATGGTTGCAAGAAAAATCAAATAAAATGTAATGATATAAACACACCTTTTAAGTAGCAAACATTATTTGTTGAGTTATGATGAAATAATATTTTTGTGCACAAAGACAAACCTGTCAGACTGTCTATGTGATGCAGCTGCAGTGACTGTGTTGCATAGGGTAAAAAGCTGTGTCACATGTATGAGTTGTATTTGAGCATAGTACACAGTACATATGTAATCGTTACCGGCTGACCACTGGAGCTCCTTCTCCCTCTCTGCATGTTCATCGCCTGCTCCTCATGAGGCAACCAACCCCACTGTGGACACACAACAACCCAAAATGGTTAAATGGTTTGTATTTATATAGAGCTTCTCTAGTCTTGATGACCCCTCATAGTGCTTTACACTACAGTTTTCCATTCACACACATTCATACAGTGCATCTATCAGCAGCACTCTTTGTTCTATGAGGGGCAATTCAGGGTTCAGCATCTTGCCCAGGGACACTTCAGCATGCAGATGGGGAAGACTGGGGATTGAAGTGCCGACATTCTGTTTGGAGGACGACCACTCTACCCCTCAGCCACAGCCACCACAAGGATAAGTGCACGCACAGATCCACATGAACAGGTGTAGGTTCTGCAGTGAAACCACCCACAGTGTATTTGTGACATCGTTTTTTTTTTTCAAATTTATTTACTGGTCACGTGACTTACTGTTAAGATGTCAAGATTTATAGTTAGTTTAACAATTTTTATTTGATAGGTGTAGTCTTCAACAGTGCTCGATGGCAGAAAGCTTAAAATCTTTTATCAAACTGTGGTGAAGTTTGTGCGATACCAAGAGTTTCAAACATACAGAGCAAAGACACCTACTCTCTGTCCAATGAGTCTGTTGACAGCCGCACATTTGTGGAATATCATGAAAGTGGTTTGGGGGTTTAATGATTACAGCCTGCTCTCGTCATCTGACTTCCTGCTACTCCTCCTCTTTCTATGGGAAAACAGTTTCAGCTGTGTAAAACTCTGAGGAATATACATAAATAGATAATGAATATAAGACACATGAGGTGACTGTGATTTCATTTTCTGGCTTTGTTGTGGTCAGCCTCAGATGATGAAGCAGTCAGGCGGACTTACCGTGGAGCGTGGGCCTTAACTGCTGGGACATCAGAAGCGACAGGAGGAGCTGTACGGGCCGGAATTCCGTAAACTAACTTTCCACTTCTATAAAGACACAATCAGGCAAACACATTAGATGACAGAAGATGTGGGTTTGAAGAACAGAGGCTCACAGTTGTGTGTTTGTTTGCATTTATGTATGAGATACATACATGAATCCAAAAGGAGCCAGGTTTTTCCCCGGGCTGGGAGAGAGAGTCATAAATGGCACATTGTTGACCTGGAGACACAAACACAAAGCTTCAGGGATCGCTTGACTGAGCTGCCATGGATTAAAAACACAGCCTGTACATACACCCAGACTTAAAAATCCCTGTCTGGTGCAAATATTTTCATCCCAACAATGACAACCCAAAGATTAATGATCTGTCATAGTTGTCGTGCAGGCCCGACTGGCTGCTACAGGCTGAGCGGTGCTGCTCCCAGAGGCATGTAGCACTCTGTCTGAACCTGCTGGGGGCCAAACCCTCTCTAAGCAGGCGCATCATAAGGAGGAAGAAGAGGAGGGGTGGTTGTTGCCGCATGAAATCCAGTAGCTGCAGGCTCAGCGGTGCTGCTCCCAGGGGCATGTTGCACTCTGTCTGATGCCAAACTCTTCCTCAGCAGTATCATTAAGAGGAAGAGAAGAGTCAGTAATGTCTGACTCCAAAACTTCCATTAACAAATCAAAGTCCAATACTGAAGCCTCTCTAACCCGGTGAGTATTTCTTTTAGTACATCAGTTTGGCTGAAATCTGTGGTGCTTCCACCTGCTGAACACAGAATAAACTGTAAGTATCAGTCTTGGCTGCTTAACACAGCTGATATTACATGTGTCAAAAGTATTGTAATTATTTTATCGTACAGTATCTGTAAATTATCGTGTTTCTCTTATGTTCCTTAATTTACAGATGTGACAATGATTTCAGCATAAAATATCCTTTAACGTGACTTTTTTCATTTCATGAAGCACTGCAACACCTGATGTCCTCAGAATCCACTGTGGCAGCAGCAACATGGTGGAGATCGGCCTGCAAGATGACCTGCAACTGCTTACAGTTGGCAGTCATTGCAAAGTATCATGGATAATATTGAGTCAATTTCTATATCCATTATGGTTGGTAAAATTAACACTGTTATCACAACAATGTTCATCTTTTACTTTCTGATTTGATAAACTTTAGATAAAAACAGTGTTTTCTTTTCTTTTTTGCCATAAGATACTGATATTTTGTTAATCTTTTATTGTATATTATTATGCTCTTGTTGTTTTCATCCATGTAAATACACTGGTGTGATACCTTGGTATATGTTTGCTTGCTTTTTGGTGTATGTCTATTTTGGAGTTATAGCCCCCCCTGGAGAAAACTCCACCAGCCGCCACTGGACGTATAGTATGTATTTCCATCCACTAGAGGGCGACTCCTCCCCACAGGAAGCTGTCTGGGCCTCCCTTATTGTTTTTCCTTGGTCTATGCAATATCTATTTATTTATGACAGTTTCTTTACATGGTGAGTTGTTGGTCGATCTGTGATCATTGTTTTGTCTTGACTTTTTGTTGTTGTCTCTTTGTACCGCTGAAAGGAGTTGCACTTAAGTTTCCTTGTACAGCTGTTCAATGACAATAAACACTTGAATTGATATAATAGCATTATCCCTACTTTTGTATATAATGTTTAAATTTTTGCTCATATTTTCAGTCTTTCTATATTTTTCACTTGTGCTGCTACTTTCCTCATTATCATCAACCTGCAGAGTCGGAGAGCCCGTGTTCTCCACCATTTTAGACCTACACATGCGTGAGTTCCAGACCCACTTAGAGAAGGACATTGACCATCTAGTATTCATTGGAATGAATACATCATTGTTTTTTTTTTTGGCACGCAATGATAGACAAATATATACAGTAATGAACAGCTTTAAGCAGCACTCCACTGCTATTTCCATGACTGCCCATACGAAGGTCAAACAAAAGCTCCTCAAGTTTATGTTTCCTTTAAAAAACACACAATCACCAGTAAAGTATTTGTAAAAAATAGTAAAAAACATTTATTGTAATCACATCATAAATCCCTCCATTAACCCTGACAGTCCTCAAGCAGGTGAAGAAGGTAAGGTCAGCTCAGGTGTCTGTTGGATGGGCACTGCTGACTTCTTCCAACGCTGTGGTTTTCTCAACCCCAGAGCGTGGCGGATTCTCTTCCAGAGTGAAGGCTTCATTTCTTTCTCAGGGAGAACACTCGAGAAAGAGTTCTCCTCAGTTCTCCTCTCCTTACTCTCTCCATTGAGCTGACTACTGGAAACATCAGCTTCATGACAGTGGCAGACCTCATGACAAGAAGCTCTGAGCTTCATCAGCTCTTCTTGAAGAGCGTTTTTCTCATCCTGAGGCAGCTCGCTGGTTTGAGTCTCCTTGTCCATGGAGTCAATCTTTTGGCTGTGAGCTTGCCTGTCCTCCACCTCTGTCACCACAAGCTCAACCCTGCTGAAATCCTTTTTTAAAGGGGCCACCTTCTCCTTCAGAGCCACATTGTCCTCTTCCAGAGCCTTCACTTTCACGTGAGCTGCCATTTTCTCCTTCACCCTCATCAGAAACTCATCCTGCTGTTTGAGATTCTCATCCAGAGCCTTTATTGCAGCCAGTTTGGCAATGCGAGCTGTTATTTTCTCCGTAATCCTTATCTGAAGTTCATCATCCTGTTTGAGCGTCTCTCTCAGAGCCCCAAACTTAGACTTCAATGTTCCACGAGTCTGAAAAACAGAAACATGGAATTAATTTTTAAAAGTCCACTCAACACAACCTGGACATACATTTCTAAAAAAAAATGTTTTACCAGAATGTCCATTTCGGTAAAGGGGGATTTGTGGTTAAGAGAGCAGTGTCTTCTTGATGAATTTTTACTGAACAAATCAGTTGTTGTCTCCGTAGGCAGGATTGTTGTCTTCACWAACGAGGACTGTGGTCTTCTCAGTTGACGGTCTGTTATTTATAAGTTTGGTAGTTCAAAGGAMCAAAGTCCTCTACAGTCTGTAGAGTTTTTGATCCTTTGATTGACATCTAAGGATTTGCAGGCCAGCAATCACTTCGATGGTTGCCCCCACAAAAATCATTAAAGAAGGTTTTTAAGAAGCAACAGTTTCCATGGCGATTTTTATAACTACACAACATGGCTGCCCCTGGGGGTTTATCAGGTTGACTTCTATATGATGCACATCGTTGCAGAGCATACACAAATCTTTAGCTAGGCAGCTACTATAGACATGTTCCACAATCCCTCCTCTTGATGCTTGTAGTATTTTTATTTTTTATATTTAATTCTTTGTTTCCTATTTTTATATTTTCTATATTTATACTTGCACAAATACACCACAGCAAATTCATTGTATTGTCTGCTTGGCAATAAAACCAGATTCTGATTTATGACAAACATCAAGTTAGCACTGAACACTTGCAGGCCACAGGGTTTAGTGAAACTAGACGGTCTCCCATGGCGATATTTGTAAATACACAACATGACTGACCCCGAGGGTGTTTGTTTGTATCAGGTTAACTTCTGTAATCTTGCACATCAATACAAGTGTACAGGAATCATTAGTATTTTAATGCAGTGTACACGGCTGCTGGGCTAGGTAGCTATTATTAGCATGCAAATGCCAAACAGCAAATCAGAAATACTTGAGAATTTGTATCTGACTTCTCTGAAGATTCTCTACTGCCTTCTAATCTCTTGCATTTGGCATCACCAATTGCTGACAGTGATTGCAGCTTCCTTCTAGACGTGATGTGTGTTGTTGATTTGTTTTCAGTTGCAGTCGCACTGGTTGTTGCAGGTATACAATGGCAGTGCGATATTTCTAGCTAACTGTTAGCACTGCTGGTCAGTTCTCTTCTTTGGTCCAAACTGAAATATGTCAACAACAACAATGAAATCGTGTATAGAAAATAGACTGTATATGAAGATAGACGACACATCTCCACTTCCTCTAAAAATATCTCAGGTAGTGATGCTGCCATCTCGTGCTTTTGCCATCATTTGGAACCTGAGTTTGAGCAGCAGTGATCATACAATCTCTTCTCCAACCTCCATTCGAGAGGAGAACTTTGGTTGAAAAACTGTGAATTGTTGAAATTGGACCAGATTAAAAAAGGTAAAACGTACACCCGAGGATTCTCCCTAAACTGGTACAGCCTAAAGGCTTGGCTAACAGGTTGTATAGAGTATGAGTCATAAGATATCCAGCAGTATATGGCACCTCCTTTTATTTTGTCTTAATAGTGTTTGTTAATAGCACTGTGTGTGTTTCAGGAAGGTGTACTTAGTAAACACTAAGAACGAGACTCAGTCTGTAGTCTAATGATGCATACTCTACTTACTATCTGAGCACACAGCAACAACTATTAATAATTAACATTATTTATCAATTATATTATTATTATTTATATTATTAATATTTTTGAATATATTATTTTGATTTAGTTTTCGAAGTTTTTTTTTTATTGTTTGTGCAGTATGCAGTAAACTGTTAGCTATCTGTTTTTGTGTAAAATGACTGACATGTTTATTTTTGTTTATTGATCAAATAAATACCTACTATTTCACAAAGAGCTGGTATCCTGCAGTTTGTATTAAATCGTAGAGATGGTTACTGAAAACTGAGTATGGCACGGCACAGCCCCACCAAGAATATTTCTCACCAGCCACCACTGGTCCTTGCGATGTCAGTACTCGGGCTCTAATAAAAGGGGAAGTAAGTCATTTAAAGGACCAGGAGTGCTGCCGCAGACACAGGAGCTTGTGAATGGTGCGCCTTGCCTGAGTCAGTGCCAAGGCCCTTTGCGATAGAACAATGATATCTGAACTAGGCCCAGGAACCACCTGGCACAGAAACAGTCTGTGGTGCCACCACAATGATCAACAACCACTTTGTCCTGTGGGACAGGGAGACAGTGGCACATTGGCATAGAGCAGGCCACACTGGGGGTGTCAGCATCCAGATGGGGAGAATTAAAAGGAACATGGAACATTCTGCTTGTTCACAAAAAGTTTCTGCCATAGGGTGACTGAATCGCTGCCAGCCACGTTCTGAAGCTCCATTTGTGCTTGAGCAGTGTCTGGCACATTGCTCAATGAGTCAGTAAGTGATCCGCCCTTGTCAGATTTCTGCAGCTATCCTCTCACGGCTGGAGGACCTCAGGCCCCCCTGCCTGTTACCACACAGTGGTCATAGGTCCGATCATGTGCCAGTTAAGCAATAATGGGGCAAAGTGATGCAACACTCTAAACACTGTCAGTTGTAGCAGCTTGAGATCGCAGATGGCAGGAATGGTGGGCTTCACACACTGTGTGTTCACCATCAGCTCCAACTCAGAGAGACACACAATGAAGCTATAGCTTCTGTAACCTGTGCAGTGCAAGTGTTACAGGAATATTGCTCTGTAAAGCCGGTTTGAGACATGTCCTGCAGGGGAACTCATGGAAAATTGGGTTTGGACTTTCTCTACAATTTGCTTTTCACACAGGCTCAACGCAGCAGGGGAGTCTCTGCTCAGACGCATTCACAACAGCAAAAATATCAACCAAGGCCCTGCTACTAATAAACTCGAAAAGGGGATGAAAGCAGAGGGGACATGACCAGTGGTTGCTAAATCTCAGGGACTGAGATACAGCTGATACCTATGCTGCTGCTCTCAAGATGCTCCAACACCTTCCTTGCCTTCTCCAGTTGGTTAGTTTTCTTCTGGAAGTCCAGGCTGAGGAAGGACTCAGTGGAGAGCAGCAGATTCAGGACCCAATCTTGCTTGGCATAATTGAAAATGAGCGTGTGGAGGGCTGAACATCCTTTGTCCCTCTGGCAAGGTATGGGTGGCAAGGCCAGTAGTGAAACCATCCTGAGGGGCTTCCAGCAGTGCAGGTGGAGGACAGAGAAGCTAACCAAGTTGTCAAATGGGTAGCTTTGGGTTGGTGGGTCCACTTGGGAGAGCAGTGCTGGGTCCTTCTCCTCATAGTTACATCATTTATCCTCCTTTCTCATCCTCATCCCAGGGTTTGGACCTGACATCTGAGGGATTGAGCAACTGGCTGCCTCCAGTGGGGCAGGAGTCAACTTCAGTCTGGTGATGCCGGCCAAGGACACACTATACAAAATATTTCTGTTTCACACAAACACTGCTATTTTTATTGGAGGAAGGCATAAAATGCATTTTCCAACAATAGAACAATTTACAAATAAAGGAATTCAAAGATCTGTATGCAAAGAAATGCATGCATATACATTTCAGTGTACACCCAGACGAAGATGTGATTGAGGATTTAATCCAAAAACCAGTCAAACCAAACACCATTTTGCAAAAGTATATCAGAACAGAAAAGTGCATCTTTGGAACAAATCAGATGATGCTTATATTACGATTGTATTAAGAAAGAAAAACAGTTTATAGATGACACTACAAGCACATCCTTCTCATTTTAAGACAATTCAATAATTCATTTATTATCAGAAAACAGTCTGGTCTGATTATTAAGACGTAAATTAAGAATTTCTTTCACTTGGACATTTAAGAAAGGGGTAGTAAAAGCATCGCTAACATTACATAAGTACACCTGGATCACTTCAAAATCAAAAACACCTTCAAGTACAGTTGAGGAGAAACAAATCAATGCACAGATCGACTTCAAATGTAACATATTAGACAGTTGAGAAAGAACAAAATGCTCTCATAAATGTTTGAAATCACACTGTTTGCCAGAAAAAAGCCTCAAAATGTGTTTTACACATTACTCATTCACTCATTAAAGGTGTATTTGTGGTTTAAAGTAGAGGAGTAAGACTTTTTTTTCTCTCAGCATTTTTCTTGATTTGAAAAAGCCCTATCAAATGAATTGATGTGGAGATTGGTGGAGTGACCCTTTACCCTATGAAACACTTATCTACATATCTTACCAGAAACATTAACTCTGTGGATATTTACTTTATTCAGATGACAAGAATACCAGAAAAGAGTTTCCTCTGCTCTGCTGATCTGTCACTCTCCTGTTAGAGTACTCTCATGTGAACAGTTCAATTATTACAATACACTTTTCACAGTAATGATTATCCCAAAACACAGATATAAATAGCAAGACAGTAATATACATATACATCAAGATTACTGAGAGAAAGCAATACAACATCATTCATCAGGAAGATGAATGAATTCTCTATTATGAAGTGCTGTTGGGTTCAATGCTATTTACAGACAACTCAATAGACAATGCAAAACAGTTCAGTTCCAGCCTTGTACACAAATACAATCATACAAACGTCTTTAAACAGGTTCCCTGTTGTGTTTTTGACTTCTAGTAGCATTGTGGGTCCCTGTTTTGTCTCTTGTCCACACACAATGTGACGCAATGCACAGTCGTCCCAATTGCATCACGATATTCCTGATCAACACGTGGCGGTAACACGACAAGGAATATCCCTGAAGGACAACTGCAAACTGGTAAACATGGATATAAAGTTCAATACATACCGAGTTTAAAACGTTTGTTTGTTGACAGGACAACTCCACAAAAGTCCTTTAAAGGCTGAACTGGCAAAAAGCACAAAAGGGTTTTAAAGTGTCTGCAGTGAAGAAACACCTCTGCTTAAAGGGATAGTTCGCACAAAAATGAAAATGCACTCATTATCTACTCACCACTATGCCAGTGGTGGGGTGGGGGAAGTGTTTGAGTCCACAAAAACTTTTGGAGTCTCAGGGGTAAACAGCGTTGCAGTCGAATTGAATACAATTGAAGCAAATGGTGACTCCTTCTTCAACCGTCAAAAAAAAAAACAAAACATAACATGCCTTCATACTGCTCCTGTGGTGTCATCCAAGTGTTTGTAAGCCCCGACATTCAAATTTGACTCAAAACAAGTACATTTACAACATGTTTTTAGCCTTAATGTCCTCTGTGATCCACGTGTGAACACAGCTCCAGAGGAAAACAGCGGACACTAAGGCTAAAAACATGGTGTGAATGATGCCTTCTTGAGAGAATTCTCATTTTTGGGTGAACAATACCTTTAAGAGAAGCAGTAAGCCAAGCAGTGCATCATCAAGGAAAGTAATACTAATGGAACATAACTTCACAAAACAGCGAGAACAATGAAAAACCCACCAACCGTATGTTCAGTTAGCAATTATTGTTAACTATTGGTTTATAAGAACAAATATCACGATGCCCTTATCTGTTGTGGAGAAACCTGTTTTTCTTTACCTGCATGTTCTTTTATTTTATGAAGTCGTTACTGACGGGCAAATGCTTAGTCAGGGGTCCTGTACCAATTACATTTACTTTATATAAGTCTAATATTATTCTGATACTCTTGCAGTGTGGATGGATTTCTGACTGGGACTACCAGGCATCACAAGCCCATAAACAATCGCCTCTGTCTGTCACTTTTCTGGTTCTCATGACTGCAAATTATATTATATAATATAATATACTATATTATATAAATGGTTTGTCCGTTTTAAAGTAAATTATTTCATTCTGATAAGTGTCACAGTTTTCAAAAATGATTATGCCATTTTTAATTCTTCAATTAAAGCCCAGTGCAGCTCTACAGGAAACTCCCACCCAAACTGAAGGGGGTGAATTTCTGAGCCTGCTGAGCTCCGATCTCAGCCACGTACAGAGCTCCAGTCTTCAGGTCCAGGTCGACCAGGTGGGGCTTCACATCTTCAGCCAGCTGGATCACACTGACCACTTTGCATTGGCCAATTAAACCCACTGGAGGTGCATCCAGCAGCGAGATCTGATTTGTGTGGAGCTGGACAACAACAAAGTACTTCTTGTCTGGGGTCAGGCGTACAGAGTAAGGCGCGTCCTCCGTGAAGCAGCTCCCCCACGTCCCAAGCCAGTCCCCTGTGATGGAGTTAAAGACCTGGATCCTCTTGTTGCCCCTGTCGGCCACCCACACCCTCAGGGCATTGTCCACAGTCACGCTGTGGGGGATGTAGAACTGAGCCAGGCCTTGTCCTTTCTCTCCATGCATCCACAACACCTCTTGATCTTTAGAAAGCTTGATGAGGCGGTTGTTCATTCCACCATCACCGTCCACAATGTACATTTCCCCGGAGCTATGGATGAAGATCTCCGCTGGCTGGTCGAACTGCAGAGGGTTCAACCCTGAGCCTGGCTTCCCTGGTGTGCCAAGCACCTGACAAGAAATAATCAAAAACAAGCAACAGACTGTTGAGTGCTACAAAATTCTTTAAATACTCAAATGTAAATGAAGCAGGAGGAACCTGAACAAACAATCCCTACCACCGACATCCTGCTGCAGATAAAGCTGTTACCTGAAGAAGCTTCCCTGATGTTGAGTACTGTTTGATGCAGTGGCCGTATGGGCCATTCCCCACATCTGTGATCCACACAGTGGGGTTCAGTGAGGCTGCATCTGCTAAAAATATCCCATGAGGCATCTCCAGTGTGGTTGTGTTCCAGGACATGATGAAATCTCCATCTGTAGTGAACACCAGCACCTTGGGCACATTATCACCTGCGATACAACAGGCAAGGCAAAAACTGGGTGAAGCATGAAGCAAACATGTATAATCAACAATGTTCACTTGCTCAAGAGAAAGGAACAGCAGAGGAACACAAACATTGCATAAATTACAATAGTATTCTGCATGTTGGGGTTTTAAACAACTATATAATGGATTATAGTGGGTACATATCTGCCTCTAATTCAGGGTAACTTTATTTCAGTCAACTTTAACTTCAGTCATCTGACTCAGGAAATGCAACAACCAGAAGCAGGGTAGTAGCGGCAGCGTTAACACCTTACGTTAACACTCAGCTGAGTGTATCTGCCATGACAAAACAAGCTGTATTCTGCTTCTAAATCTTCTCTGTTCCCAGCTGAAACTTATTTTGTCCACAACTGAAATGCTGTTACTGTACATGTGAAATTCCCTCCATACTGGTGTTACAAAAAGTACTTGTGTGTTTGTAATGGATTTTGTGCAGGACACACGTCCCTACCTTGCTAGATACAGATGAAAACCACTGGGCCTTGGCACTTAAGTGCTCATGACCGGAAACATGGGTACTGAATAAAAATCTAAATAATCCTAAATAATCCTAAATAATCTATTGACCATTAATGAAGCCATATGTTACAGTCTTTTTGGAAATGTATTAGAAAATCATTTATAAATCACATTATCCATTGTTCACTTTTACAAATACCTGGAAGGACATTCAGGCTAAAACATGGTGCAAATGACGCCGTTTTGAGTCAGATTTGAATGTCGTCACTTATGGACACTTGGATGACACCACAAGAGGCATTTAATGTTTATTTTCTGCAGTTTTTATTAAGTTTTAAGATGCTGTCACCATTTACTTCCATTGTATTGCATTTGGCTGCAACGCTGTTCACCCCTGACACTCCTCAAGTGTTTTGTGGACTCAAACACTTTCACATCCCTCCACTGGCATCATGGTGAATGAGTGGATTTTCCTTTTTGGGTGAACTATCCCATAAGTACAGGTAAATATTCCAATGACAGTCTCAGAAGAATGCATGTTTACATCATGATTTACATACACAACATATGTAAAATCATATTGATCACACAAAGTAAAACGAGGTGTCTGCTGGGGGTTGATTTACTGTTGTGTGGTGAGTGTGTTACCTCTCTGTGCCACATACACAAAACCAGCATACTGGTCGACTGCCACAGCGAACACGTCCCCGGTGAAGAGCTCCGGGTTCCGGGGCCAGCCCAGCTCCAGCTTGTACAGAGGTCTGCCCAGCAGCTGGTAGTCATGTCTGAGGCTGGAGCTGCTGCCTGGCTGGGAGCCGAAGGTCCCGTACAGCACCATCATCAACAAGACCAGCGAGCCCATACTGGAGGCGATCAGACACGCGTGGCCTCGCTTCTTCATCAACATCTGTGCTGCGTTCAATGTCCTGCTGCGCCGACGTTAGCGGAACCTGTCAGACTGACACCGCTGGAGAGGAGGACACTGGCCGGAGTCCTCTGAGGTCAGATACTCGTTCTGCTCCGGACAAACAACACGGTCAAGTCCTTGTGTTTGTCTGTATGAGGAGATTTGAACCCCACCAACCAAAAGAGAGATTCACTTCCCCATGAGTCCTAAAGGAAAACAAAGCACGGTGGGACGTGAGACAGAATAACTTCCGTTCTTAATATCACAATAAAAGCTAAAATAATAATAATAACAATTAAAGCTATTAACTTTCAATTGCAAAACTACATACTCAGGAGTTCTCTATGTTTCATGTTGAAGATTTCTGAGAATTATCAATGACACTTTGAACTGTCGAGAACATATTGCTTGGGTCAACAGAGAAGTAAGTGAATATGTTGGTGTTATAAGGAGGGGTTGTTGAAAGGGATATTCCTGAGCAATTCAAAACTTTCTTCAAACCAAATTCACAGGTCCAGATTTCTCACTTACAGATACATTTTCAGCAAGATTTAAGAAATGCAAATTATGACTTGGCTTTTCACAGGTGGAAAAGGACTGGTCTCCAATAAATGTTACAAAAAACGATTAAAAGACCATCTAACTGCTGCTCTAGAACTGTTCTTCTTTATGTATTACTGTCTTTGGAAATATGCAACGCATGTGTATATGCCACACACACACACACACACTCGCAATGAACACATCTACACGTCACATACACATCTTTTGCTTTTGTATTGCTTTCAGTGTTTGTTTTTATTGGGCTAAATATGTTATCATTTATTTGCTGACTCTCTGGTAGCAATTCTGTATTTTCTAATTTAAAGATTTACATTTAGTTAATTTGATCACTATTTAGCTGGAGGCCATCGGGGTTTTCGCCACCTTCTTATATATTATTATTTGTTTTGAGGTTTTTTTACATATTTTTTTTAATCTGCACTAAATTAAAAAACAAAAACTGAAATACCAAGACGCATAGATGCTGGCTAAAGCTCTACTGGTCATTGTGGGTTTGGACATAACTTGTGTCGTATATATTGGGGTTGCGATGATGTGAATATGATGAAGGAATCGCCGATGACACCGTCTTGATTGTATAAAAGGTTTATTACAAAAAGTTCAGCATCAATACAAGCAATGCAATCAGCTAGAGAGAGATCTGGGGTCAATGTGAATCTCTCCTGCCTGGAGAGAGATTCGGGGCCAATGTGAATCTCTTCTAAGGGGGCAACTTCAACTCCTCGTTTATATAGGAGGGTTGTTTTCGTGAATCTGAAGAAAACACATCTGGATTTCATCCAGCTCTTCTCATCTGTCTGGTAACAGGGAGGGAAAGGCACCAGCTTGATTTAAAACTGTGACCTAATGCCCTAACATATATATTCAGACTTTCTCCAAATTCCTCAGGACCTCTGGGCCTCAAACCCAAAGATACATTTCCTTTAAAGGGAAGACAACACATAGCATTTCAGACACCACACTTGTAAATACATAGATGTGTGAAAAGCATGTCGCTTCGTCTCTTTTTTTTTTAACTGACGCTATCACTTTCAGGCTTTTAATTTTAAAACCAGTTTGTCCTGTTTGCGGAAGCGGGCCGCGGCGTCATGTGACCACAGTGACGTCAGGACGTGTTGACGCAGCCTGGCTGTGGCTGAGCTGCTCAGTAATTTCCTTCTCGCTGGATCTACGAGATTCTGACCCGCGGTGTGAATGACAGTCCGAGCGGGACAGAGACACCTTTCATGCAGCGGGACCCTTCGAAGAATCAACTCCATGGAGGTCGTGGACAGTTCGCTCAACCTCGTAAGTCTCCCCCCCCCCACCCCTCTCCCTCTCGATGTTGCAATATCAGGCTAACGTTACTGTGGCTAGGGGCTCGTAGAGGTTAGCCGCTTTAGCTAGCTCCCACTGGAAGTTAGCGGCTAACCGCCTCGTTGAGACCGTGTTGTTGTCAGCTCCACATGATGCTACGTGTCGGCTTTGTCCTCGACAGAACAGGAAGTTGGAGTGTCCATTTTCAGGTTGTGTTATTCCGGTACGTTAACAGAAGTTGTTGTTAGCGGAGAGGGACCGGTGTGCTACTTGTCAACTTGTTCGCAAAGCTGTGTAGTTATTTCTAGTTGTGTTACTGCCCCTGATATCATCCACACAGAGTCACAATGACACCAAACGCCACCTCAACAATCCTGAAGCTAATCGTTCTGTGTTTTTTAATGTCAATTAAGCGCATAGACATTAATGGCACTGACATTGCCCTCGAGACAAGTTATCTGATCTCACAGAAATCTACTTCAGTCTCCATATTGGGTTGATAATTGAAAGGAAAAACTTGTAGTAGTAACTTCTCACTTCATGAGTCCCCTCCTGTGCTGCTTGTGATAGCTTCTCCAAGTGTATGGAACTCTACAGGAGTTCATCTTCAGTTGTTCTGAGACATGTCGCCATATTTCATCATCAGATGATACAGGTGGATCGTCCTCAGTTTGTGTCTTCTATGTTTTGTGACATTCAGAGAAGATCATCTGTTTATTCTGAAAAGATTCACGCCTGTCATTTAAAGATCATCACCTACTCTCACACTCCACAGACTCTCAAACTAATAACAAAATCTAGTATATGACCTCTGGTTTGATTTGGGCCCGTTACATGCTTGAAGAGCGCATATCTCCGCCAAGGCCCAGTGGTCCCCATGAATTCAATTAAACTGCACCAAGTTGAACACACCTAAAGATATTACTCCCCCAAATGTGCCTTATTTTTAAGCTGCATGATTTTTTCCCTGGGAAATCTGTCAAAATGTCATTAAACACTATCTCACAATGTTAAAGAAAGTTGAAAATAAAATCCTGGATCCGCCCCTGATCTGGATCTGTAGCCAAAATTTTATTTGTTCCCCCACCCATACCGAGTCCCTCCATCAGGTTTCATGGTGATCTTTTGTGTAGTTTTAGTGTAATCCTCCTGATGAACAAACAATCAAACACGGATGAAAACTACACCACCTTGGCAGAAGTACTAAGGGACAACACTGTGCTCAGTGATGTCACTGGTATTATCCCTCTAGATGAATACTGAAGTACCAAGTTAAAATAAGATTCCATAAAAGTCATCAGTCAAATGCACATTGTATTTCAGGTCCCTGTACATAGTAACATATAAGTTCCTTGGTGAGGTTTTTGCCACAGCACAGAGATATTCATAGGAATTAACTGACCAGGTTAAATCTGCATGCATTGAGCTGTATTATTAAAAATAGCTGTTACACCACCACCCTTTCTGCTAACTCCAGAAACTGTAAAAAGAAGAAAACAGGCGGTGTTGAACAGCTCGACTGCTGCAATTGCCTAACACAGTTATGTTAAAATTATGAGACCTCTAAGTTGGTGAACACAGTCTGTGGTTTGAAATTGGCCACAGGTTGGTCAAACTCATTTTAGGAGCTGCATGCACACTATTCTGTCTATTACCAGTAAAGCAGCACACAATATATATTACCCTCACAAATGCAAATTGTGAAATGCTTAAAGGTTCAGTGTGTAGAATGTAGTGACATCTATAGGTGAAGTTTCATGTTGCAGCTGAATACTCCTCATCTTTGTCCAGTTTGAATATAAAGTATTAGATATAAAGGCCATTCTATGGTAAAGAAAACAACAATTCATACAATTTAGATGAAACACACCAGTGAAAACATCACTAGAATTATTTTATATTCAATATTCTGCCAAAAATCCCTTTCACCTAAATCTTCAGTCATGTTTGGTATTTCAATGTATTCATTAAATGAATGAATCAGCCAACAAAAATAGTCACAGAATAATTTTCAGTTCTTCTGTCCATGACCAAAAATATTCCTGTGGCATTAAAACTGAACCAAACATCTCTTGCCCTGTTCCCACCTCTCTCCCCTTTCCCACTTCTTTGCCACTCACCCCCTCTGATTGTTCTTTCCTAAATTCTGGGCACTATGCTTCCATTTTACCGTTTTTGTAACACATTACAGGACTTCTCTCTTTTTCGATACCTCTAACTTAGCTGTGTCCAATTCTTTCTTTATCCTTCTCCCCTTGTTCCCTCCACTCTCTTTAGGCTCATCAGCAGTGCAGGAAGGCAGACCGTTTAGTATCGGCAGGGAAGTATGAAGAGGCTATATCCTGCCATGGAAAAGCAGCAGGTATGTTTGGTGACACTGACAGAGTATGTAACATTGTCCCCATCTGTCTCTCTGCCTGTCTTCCCTTCCTTCCTTACTTCCTTGTACCCATCCTTGCATCCCATCCATCCATTTATTAATTTTCCTCCACTTACCTTGGGTTAAGTCACAGTGGCAGCTCCTCCAGACAGCATTCAGAAGTGTTCTCTGGCAAGATGGGATATGTAATAACTCCAACAAGTTCTGAGTCTACTTGCTGTGTGATGTGACCATGCAACCAAGTAGTACATACTAAAATGGCCCCCAGCAGAGCACATACCTACGCTAAGGCCCAACGATCAATCAGATTTTTTTCATCTAGATTCATGCATTATTCCTTGTACACTGTATCTTGCAAAGCTAAAGAAAGTCATAATACACTTTCCCCTTTGGATCTGCACCAAAATTGAGTGGCTTCTTTCTTAGCCCATGTCCCATCCTTCCCCAAGTTTCATGGAAATCTGTTCAGTAGTTTTTGCGTAATCCTACGGAAAAAAAACAACAAACTATAACCAACAGACGGTTGGAAACATGGCCTCCTTGGCAGAGGATACAATGACTGATACTAACTTATCCTGCTTGTTTCTGTCTCCCACCATCAGTACATTAAAAAAAGGGCTGTAGTTATCTAATATGGACATAGCACCCTCAAATGAAAGCTAAGAGACAACATTTAAAGTGCAGTGCTCGAGTAAAAACAACATCTAGCTGTGTTTTTCTGTCTCAATACTTTATGACTCCACTGTGCATCAAGCCGCATGTTTCATATTATTGATGCTCGTTACCACATCATTGTGTAAGTAAGTCTGTGTTGTAGAGACTTTAAATTGTGCCCCTTTTGTAAGAAATTGTAGATTCTGTGCTGGCATGATGCTGTGTGAACTCAAGGGGGTGCAGGCAAAGTTGTTGTTAATCAGCCCTTTGTCTCTGTTTGTCCCCAGATCTTTTAACAGATGCAATGAAGACAACAGAGTGTGAGCAGGTGAGAAACCGTGCATG